AAATTACAATTATTTGATAAAAATGGTGTCTTCATAAAACGAATAGATCATGAAGATGATGGATTATATTTTCCAAGTGGAATCAGTATAATCTCCAAGAGACCAAGAAGAGTAGCTGTAGCAGACCATGCAGCAAACAATGTTAAAATATTCAATTATTAAAATGAAAATGAAATACATGAATCATAGTATTATATACATTTCACATCTATTTTTATACATTAATGAATATGATTGGTTTTATCATGTACAGTAGTTTATATAAATCTATTACAGTAGAACCTCGAATTTACGTACGGTACGGGACCGGAGGGCGTACGTAAATCGGGGGATTCGTAAAATAGATGTTGAGTTAAATTTGTGGTAACCTTTGGCCTAATACGTACGTAACGCTCAATATACGTATGTATGAATGAACGATGTTACCTAGCTAGGCTAGACCTAGCCTCTAGGCCTACGAATAAAACCATGTGTTTAGTGTTTTTAGTCATCACTTTATGATGTCATAATAAAGTGTTCAAATAAAACCATGTGTCTAGTGTATATGTCTTTTATTTAACTAAAGAACATGAAAATATTGTAAGATTACCTATATGACAAAGGTATAACTTGGGAATTCCCCTTCATGCCTATTCTAAACAACAGAGCTGTGGTGTTGTCTGGTAGGCTGAGACAAACTAAACCCATGTGCACTGGGCGAGCCAACCAATTAGCGTTCGTGTACGCGTAAAACAGCAAAACCATGTGCACTGCACTGGGCGAGCCAACCAATTAGCGTTCGTGTACGAAACTATGCCTACTCAGCTTCGTGTAGAAAATTAGACCAGACAAGTTTTTCCATGGTTTGCCACACGAATCTAAGGAGGAAAGCAATTATTTTGAGCACCATCAGTAGTTGTTCATTTCACTCAGTTCACGTGGTTTTAGATTATAACAACCCGGTATTAGACTCAATCAACGTTGCTGTTTAATGAAAATACGTTGCATTATGGTTTGTTTATTGTTATAGTTTATAGTCCTTTTACTTATGGTTGCTCTGAAAAGGGCCGTTTGTTTTGAATATTTTCGGGGTTTTTGATGACGTCATCGACGATACGAGGTGTATGTAAAACCGAGGGTTCGTATAACTGGGGTACGTAAAAACGAGATTCTACTGGAATAATTTATAGTTATTTTACTGATAATTACAATAGAAAACTACATTATAATAAAAACATTGAGTAATTGTTAGAAAATAAATGCAAAAATCACTACATTTTATTAAATTGTCGTATTTGTATATCCACAAAATAAACCTCTTTTACTCCTTTGATAAAGGACATTGAACATGAAGGATGTTTGATATTCTACCGCAAGTGAAAATAGACACAGAGAAGGATTCTATAATTTTATAGATTTTTAGTTATCTGCAGTTTTAGGAATACTTATTTTTGTAAAATTATTTTAACTTGTTTTTAGCTTTCGTTGTTCAAGTACTTGGATTATCGGTATGTTTTTGATCCTAGTTTGAACTACAATAATTGTTTTAAAGTTTATAATTCTTATTTATTATATTCTAAGGTCAACAATCAATAATAACTCTTATATAAATATATTTTAATGATTACAATTCATATTTAAAATAGGTTCACCAATGTAAGTTCTATCATTTCTAGGATGATAACTTTTATCTGTTTGAAAATTATCTTTTAATATGCATATTCAATTGTTGAGAAATAAAGAATTTTAAAATTGGAAGCGTCAGCCATTGCTTACCAGTTCGTTGGAGGCTGGGTGTGATAGGTCAGGTATATTTCCTTTTCATACCATTAAAGCCATCACCTGGTTTGAAGTCTGTCACAAGAAGTACTGTAGGTTGAATATGTCTGTGTGCAGGAGGTTAAGCTTTATAGCTTATAAGCTCCTTGATGCAGTCACCTGACAGTGGTTCGATATCAGATGCTCAGCCTCCAGGTGAAATACAAATATACAAAAGTGAATCATGTACCAATAATTGAATTATACAAAAAGTGATTCAATAGAATAGTGGAGAGCTGTTGGTGTTGGTGGTAAAGATGGTCACCTAATCCCAATTTCAGATATTTATAACAGCATACTGATATACACAACTGTCTAAAGGAGGTAAGTAATATAATTACTGTATATTCCAATGAGATATTTAGGATTTATTAAATTGTCATAATACTATTGTACAGGGTATATAAGCCCATCCCTCTAGGTCACAATACTATATTTAAAAAAAAATGACAGTTTGTCATATAAATGTGTAGTGATGGTTAAATCAGATGGCATTTCTTAATACATGCCTCATTCAAAGACAATTTTTTTTTCTGAACGTAATAAAAGTCAGCTGTGAGCTACTCATTCAAATCATACCCTGGTTTTGCCCAGGGTTCAATAAAGTATGGGAAAAGATTTAAAGGTGGAGGTACATCACAAGAACTACAGTATCTATATACACATATAGTTGTGATGCCTGCTAGATTCATTAGAATACATACATGCAGAGATTTGTTTGCTCAAAAAATGAGTGAGAATGTATTAAATAAAAATGCTTTAACTAAGAAAATAATCAAATATATTTTTGAAATCAGATGCAAAACAGAATATTTTGTGGGTTGAATGAGATATTGGGAAGGGAGATGATGAGTTCAGTTGGCTAATCTGGTGGTAGCCACTGTGTGTGCGCTGAACCATGGAGATCTCTAGGTCCCTGGTTCAATTCCCATCGCTGCCTCTCCTTGTGTTTCAGCCGGAGGGATGGAATACAAGTTTAAGTGCACAATAGACGTTTAAGCTGTTGGTCCCGTGTGCATTTATGGCCCATGTGCACGTTAAAGAATACAGTACACTCTTCGGAAAAGAGTAGGGGATTGTCTCCCGGTGTACTGTCCAATCACCACCAGAAGGTCCCCACTGGAAATAAGTCTTCTTCTAGACTCTTGTGGGCTATCCTGGGCGTTTACACTGAATAAATCCAATCTAATTCAATGGGTCAAATGTAACAGCTGCAATTAATCTAGGATTGCTTACAAACAAATGCATATGATGCATATTGATGCTTACCTGTTGGAAGGCAATTAAGCCCTGTCCAGGTTAAAGTCTGTCCAAAGTAGAGCAGTTAATGTGTCAGGATGCCGAAGGGAAGGAAACACCAGCGTTTTTCGCATGACTGAAACACACTCCACATCTTATGGCTCAAATTGAGACTACAGAGCATAAATTCCACACTAAAGTCACCTGAAATTAGATGTGAATAAAATTTATGAATATACCATTGCCTAAGAGCATTAGAATGCTTTCATTTCCAAAAACATTTTTCATAGTTGTTTGGAGATGAATTTATTATTTCTTATTCAAAATGTCATGTTCATGGAGATTTAGATATTCACATTTGATTCATGTTGTGGCAAAATGGCTAAGTTGTAGCAAAAATTGAAATTCAAGTTAATATTGGTATTTTCAGATACCTGAGTATGTGATCTTTAATATGAGGGGTCATTCATTCAAATTGGACATTTCAAGCCTAAGTTATTGGAAAGTGAAAGTACAGCACTCTTTAGAGTCAAAATAAACATGATTTTCAGTAATTGCCTTTCAAATTTATTTGTGCATACATTGTAATAGAATGAACTACCAAAATAATGTTAAACAATTTGTTGACCACTTCCAGAACTAATGTGTCCTTTAAAAAGCAGATTGTATCATCACAGTTGCCTGATTGGAAAAAATAAATCTCACTGTGGCCACATTGGCACATATCCTTGGTGATAGATAGATTGCCTGATCATTATTATTGTCATTTCTATTATTAATTAGTATGCGTTGCAGTAGAAACCATTAAATTTTACAAAATCTATTACATGTATAACTTCCGATCTAATTCATTAATAAATTAATGCAAGCTAACAATTAAAAAAGAGAGGAATTCTAAATATCACAAAAACCTGAACAAACAATTAAAAAAATTGAAAAAAATGTTAATTACATTGACAAAATTTCTGATGACATAATTAAATTTTGACAAAATTTATAAAAGTAATAATGCCAATTAAATTAAATAAATATGTATTGATTAAAGCACTATATAAAATGTTTAATATTAATAAGAAACAAATACAGACTTATAGATACTGAATAATTTAACATCTAAAAGAAATAAATACAAATAAGTATAGCCATTCAAAGGTCATGTGTGTGCATTCAGAAAAATACAATATTCAAATGTACAAATTGTATTTGAAGTGATAACTGTCACAATGTAGTTACACTTCATAAATAAAATCAATGAAACACGAAATTTATTGTTAGTCAAAAAAAGTTTTACAAACTTGATTTTTTAAAATTTACCTTCATTTAGTTCTCAATGTCACATACACATGGTTTATAATTTCATAAAATACAATCCAAAATCAGAAATGTTAAATATTAAGATTTTTTTTTGTTGGCCACAACAATTGGTTATTTTTATATCAGCATTTGTGTTTGACAGTGATGTGTATTCATAACCTTGGCTATTGAATTCCTAACAATAAAATAGGGAATTTCCGCTATTTTAAACTGTGCTGTACTCTACATTTTACAGTGCATGAATGTCATTTGGTGAAGTGTCAAGAGAGTTCCTTCCAGGTACTTTAAATCATTTATTTTCAGACTATGTATTGAGATTCTTTCATTAATAATAATAAAAAAATGATTTATGCTAACTGACTGTATTTATACAGTAGTTCAGGGCCATAAATTCTGTAAAACTAGATGTCTGTGTATCATAGGAAAACATTTATGTAGGCTTAAGAATGGTGTAGGCTTATATCAGGGGTACTACAGTACCTATACCAGGGCTCCCAAGTTGGGAGAAGTCATTTCTGGGAGATCTGCAGTGGCAGCTCAAAGGGTGGGGATGGGAGGTTGAAGGGTGGGGAAGAGAGGGACTTCTACAGATGGAGGATCTAGACCACATCAGCCCCACCATGGTTGGTGCTGATGGAAAAAAAATTTACGATTATAGCACCTGAAGATAGCCGGAAATGGCCCTCTCAGAATTTTTATATTCACTTTAATATTCACTTATTTCTTAAAAACAAGTGCCAGGAACCAAGGAGGCCAAGGCCTGTAATTAGGCTCCTAGACTAATCTTAAATATTAAATTAATCTTAAATAATAAAACTAATCTTAAATAACAACAAAAAGAAAAAAAAAAAACCTTCAGAAGCTGGGAAGAACGGTATAAATTAAACAGATGAATGGAATGAGGAGAACTTTGGGCCCTGCTGTAATGAAACATCTATAATCTAACATACTTATTATTATTATTATTATTATTATTATTATTATTATTATTATTAACACACAGTGATATTTTTCGATCATTTGATTTTTTAGATTAGTTTTAAATTGGTTGAGGTTGGGGTCCTAGATTATGGGCTAATATTCCTGATGATCTAAAAAATAAATTTACATTGAATAGTTTAAATATCATTTTAAGAAGTCTTTGGTCTTGGTGTATGGTAATTAATTAATTATCTTGTTTCTTTTCTTGCTCTCATTTCCATTTGAGTCTTGAAATAATGTGTCTGGTCTTGTTTTCAAAACTGGATTGGAATTATTATAATTAACTATTATTAGAATTTTATTGGTATATCATTCTGTTATTATATTAGTTTAAATACAGCTAATCATTGGTACCGGTCATTTTTCCAATGTTTTGTTAAAGGTGGCTACGTCTTAAAGTTCTACTAGAACTTACTGTAGCCTCCTTCCATACAATGCATTTGTTTTAATTTGCATTCCTATTTACTGTATTACTGTATTGTATGGAAAATAAATGCATATTTGATTTGATTTGATTTTGAGTTTTAATTGATTTAGGCAAGGAAAGCCAGTACTTACTGTAGGTTCATAGTGAAAGACAGTGTTTTGTCTTTTAGTTATAGTCTGGAAAAATATATGAAATGAAGAAGGCTGGCGGGTGGAATAAGAATGAATATTTGAATTATAAGTAAAGTGCATTGCCAGAGCAGATGAAATTCCCCCACAATTTAGAATAAACATAAAACTCCCAACATAAATCAAAAAAGTTCCTTAAACTGCAGGATGTTCTGGGATAGGAAAAGTGGTGGAATGTGAGCTAACTATTTTGCGTTGCAAGTGCATCTAACCGCCATCTTTTGTATCATATGTGGACTCTGTTAATATGAACGACAATGGCTTTCCCCATGCAAGAATACCTTAATTTAAATATGGTAGAACGAGATAGTTATAAAGCAAATTTCATCACACATGATGGGTCAAAAAAAAGTTTGTGCATAGCATCAACTTTGCAAGGTTCTGGATATGTACGTCCCATACCAATCGCTCATCTTATAAATTCCTAAGAATTTGGTAGACTGGAACCCTTGAAATTTCATTCCTATCCAGCAAAATCGGGGCAGGGAGTTCCTTGATAATATTGCTGAAAAACATAAAATTTGATTTGCTCGTGTTCAATGAGAGGCGATTGGCATGGGTCCATTCCATAATTTTTACAAGTTCACTGTTTGCAGTGGAAATCAAATCACTATCACTATGGTTGGTGCTCATTGTAAGAAAATTTATGATTATAGCACCTCAAGATAGCCAAATATGGCCCACTCAGTATTTGAATATAATTTTCTTTTCTTTTTTGACTAAGATGAGCTTCCACAAATAAATCTAGATCTAGTTTTACAACTCACAAATGCTGCTGTATTCTACACTAATTTTACCACTAACCACAACATTCTCAATCTGATAAACTTGCCTATTTGTCGACTTTGCCTAACTCAAATAATTTTTTAAGTTGATCATATTTTACATTACAAATTAATAATAATAATAATAATAATAATAATAATAATAATAAATAGTGATTTATAGAGCGCATATTGCATAAAGCCTGTATGCGCCTGACATTTGTTTCGAGCGATGCCTACTCTTAAACTAGGTATGGTTGGCCTTTGACTCCGGAGAGTTCATACGCCCTCTGTTCAGCTGTTTTTATTGCTGCGGGGTTACCATGACACCCTCCCACTTCAGTGCCCGCTAAAGACCACAAAAGGGTTGTCGCTGGCGGCTCGACCGGATGCCATTTTGGATTTGACTTAGGCAAGTTCAATTTATATGTTATCTCATTATAGAGCTTTCAGCTGTACAAGTCCTGAACAAGGAATCCCATCTTGATATTTGTGGTACAGTACATTCAGACTTTGTATGCTTAGCACAATTCAGTCAATATTCAATTGATCAAAGGTAGCAACAAGTACACCATTTACACTACTAGTCGACATTAGAATCAAGGTAAGATAATATTATATTAAAGTCAGCAACCTTTTACATTTTGTATTGCCAAACTTAATAAATTAATGTATACTTGAGAATGACTTATATCATCTTCAATGCATTTCTTTTATGGTATGACACTAAAACATAGAAATACAAAGGGGCTATGCTTACACCGACATGTAGTGCATTAAGAAACCAAGAATTGGTTTTAAGGTTAGCGTAAAGCCAAGTCCACCAATCAGTGCGTTGAGATTTCGATAACTTCATTGTGGTCACAGGATTAAAATACTCCACATTAGAAATGTAGAAAGTGTGATATATGATTTGATGGAGGCCTAGGCCTACTATATAGGCTTTCTTTAGCTTGTGTCCTTATCATTATTGTTATTATTGACACCCTCCCACTTCAGTACAAAAATATTTTTTGGACAAAACAAATTTTCTTGGGGCAAGCCTAAAATTTAAATTAAGATCTAATACACTACCCCTTGATTGTAAAACGTGTAAATGGTCAAATGATGTTTCAGGCATTTGCACCCTATGTGAAAGTGGAGAAATTGAAGATGTCAAGCATTTTTTACTAAATTGTCCCGCTTATATCGTTGGAAAACAACATTTAACAAATCTTGAAAATGACCTTCTACTCTGTAACGATTATGATACATGGACACTTTTTTCAACAACAAATGACGATATTAAACTTCAATATGTTTTAGGAGGAGATTCAGTTTATTTGTGATGAATCTACCTCTATTTTTGATAATTTCTGTCAAAAATACATCATGAATGCTTGGGAAAAACGCTCACAACTAAAAAATTCACAACAATAGTTTACTGTAAATGTATCGTTGCTTATCAAATTGTGTAATGTTAATTTTTTTTTGTAGTGGACTCTACATCGTAGTCTGTATTCCTTAGGTTTAGTTGGTCTACCTTGGTATTATCTTTTTGTTGTAAGAATTTTTCATCTTTAGATTTTATATTTTGTAGGTTAGTTATTTTAAGCATTTACTTTACAGTTGACCTGTAAAGTATTTCTGAGTATGAAATGCGATGTGAAATGTGATCTCATCTAATTTCATATGTTATTTTTCTACCTTTCTTTAATTTTGTAATATTATATACAGTCGATTGTTATTTATTTTGTTTGTTAAATTTTACCCTTTTTTTTTGTTTTTGTTTGTACAAACGCACCAATTGATATTGAGTGCCACCGATTCAAAGGTGTATGTTCAAATAAATAAATAGAACTTATACACATCTAGATGTGTATAAGAGACAGGAGTATATGTATGCTATCCTTCAGTGTACAGCACCATATCTTTCAAGACAATTCGACTTAGAATAGGCTTGCCCCTACTACTTGGCTCTCTTTCGATTTGGTTTAAGTTTGTCCCATCTATTTAGAATATTATATTTTCCAGATATGATCCGATGACCCTTTAAAAAACTTCACGACCCATACATGGGTCATGCCCCATGGGTTGTCGACCATAGATTTAAAGTGAAAATTTTAAAATTAATACATTTACAACATACATAACTCAAACGAAGAGGGAGAAATTTTTAAGACACTTTCCATACTATGTAAAGCTGCATTCACACCTGATCCGAACCAAAATTTGTAGAACGTTTTTGATGCGCGTCTAGTACGCGCCTTTATTCTTTACCACTGATTCAATTTTCATTTTTTGTTTCGTTTAGCCATATGAACCAAATTCAGATTCGGTGTGAATCTACCTTAAGGGTTATGATTACCTGTCTGTTTTTATCACACGGTCCTTTACGCAGTCTTCTGTTACTCTGTTATTCTTTTTCATTTCAATATTAAACTCTGCACACAACTATTTTTTTCTTTGTAAGTTTCTTTTACTATTATTTTTGTTTCATTCAGTTCATGACAGCGCTATATAAATTTTCACCCAAACCATTACCAACTCCTTACCATAACCAAGTAAGCGAAAGGGTTACAGTTTATGAATAAAAAAGATCTTGAGTGTGCCATCTGCCTGAACAGGTTTCAACAACCAAAGACACTGAAACGCTTGCACACCTATTGTGTGACATTTTAATAACAATATAATACTCAGGCGGACTGGTTGGCATTCCAAGCATAATAAATTCAAGTGCCGCAGTAGTCACACACTGTCGCTGGAGCCTATTTTAATTATTTCAACTTATAGTTGTTTATAACAACTTCCTAATTATATAAACAAACTGAGTCCCATAAGAACACTGCTAATTTCAGAAAATGCCCACGTTCAACAATTAACATTTCTGCAGCCTTACATGACCTCCAACAATCAATATTTTACAACTCCCTGATAACTACAGAATTATATCAGTGCACTACACAATGTCCACCCATTAATTTGTTGTCTTGCAGATGTCTGTATCCAAAGCATTGCAGTTTATGGATAAAAAAGATCTTGAGTGTGCCATCTGCCTCAACAGGTTTCACCAACCAAAGACACTGAAATGCATGCACACCTATTGTCTACAGTGTATCCAAAAATGGGTGGAAACTCATGGAAAGATGAAATGCCCAACATGTGGACAAGAACATGATCTAACAAAAGAAGACCTAAAAAAGCTAGCTTCCAATACAATGATAAGTCAACTACTAGAGTATGTCATGAAAATTGAGGACCAGAAACCGACTAAATGCTCTTTCTGTGACAATCAACCATCATACCACTGCTCAACATGTCAGCTGTATTTATGTGGAGGCAACTGTATCAAACAACACAAGGCCGTACCTTCCACTAAGGATCATCCACTTTACACATTAGACATAAAGGAACAGGAGGGCAATCAATGTCCAGCTCACTGCAACAACACACTAGAATTTTACTGCACTACTTGTAACAAATCTGCATGTAAGCAATGTGAACACATTTTTCACTGTTGTCAAAAACAACATGAAGTGATTCCAATGTCAACTGCTGTAGATGAGTTTAACAAAGATGCCAATGAAATTGTTGAGTTAGCTCATGAAATTAAAAATAAATTAACAGAAAAACTACAAATTTTAACTAAAGACAGATTACAATTTGATTCCCAAGTAAAGTTATGCAGAACAGCCATAGAAATTCATGAAAAGAAACTTATCAAGAAAGTTCAAGAGAAAAGCAAAGAATTAATATCAGACCTTGACAATATATACAAAACAAATAAAGGAAATTTCGATAGTGAAATTAATGATATTGATTCAAAGATGACTCAATTAAAGAATCTAATAGTTTCAATCAATTCAATAATGAACAAACCAGAAAAAACAAAAACTCTTTCATCCAAAATGAAAACTATAAAAGCTGTTAAAGACAATGTCCTAGAAACTGATTTTGAACAATCATTTCAACAGAGAAATATCAAACCAAATTGTATTCCATCCATGCAACTGGATGAGTTGATGAATACTGAGGGCATTGGTAAAATCACAACTGCTGATAGCATGACATACAATGTTGCTGAAGATGATGAACAAATTACTGTGACAAAAGGTCAACCATTTGTAGTGAAAGTATCAAGTCCAACAGAAACTAATCAATTAGTTGCAACACTACTGAACTCATCAGGTGAAGAATCAGCAACTCAGATAGAATATCAGGAAGGTAAAGAGTACAAAATAACAGGTAGATGCAATGTGGAAGGTAATTGGAAAATGAAGATCACTGTTGGCGCTGCATACATCAAAGGATCTCCAGTGAATATCAAGGTAGAAACACTGGGACTTGTTCATACCATTGATAACATATCAGATTATAAAGAACATAATAAAACAGAGACTGTGACAGATGTAACGTTAGATAGAGATGGATGCATATTAGTATCAAGCTGTAGTAAAGATATATTGAAATTCAACCAATCCGGTTCATTTGTTGCTAGGATACAGGTACCACAAGATTTAAAGATAACTTTCATGCATCCAACAGGTGATGGTCACATATTGTTTAGTGATGTCTTAGAAAATCGTGTTGTAATGTGTGATTATAAATTTCAAGAAGTCCGCTCAATTGGTAAAGGGATGTTGGAAGGTTCAGGTGGATTGACATTCAACAAGGAAACTAGAGCCTTGTATGTTGTAGATTTTTGTGCTCACTGCATTTATAAATTCAATGTTGATGATAGTAGACATCTTGGTACATTAGGTTCAAAAGGTAATGGAGTGGGTCAAATGCTGAACCCAACAGATGTTGCTTTGACCAAGGAAGGTCATCTGATTGTTGCTGACAATGGGAATCAAAGAATACAGATGTTTGATGCAAATGATAGGTTTATGACAACTTTGATACACAGTGGTGAGCTTGATCACAATGATGAAGATGGCGATGAAAATGGCGATGGAGATGATGATAGTAGTAGTTTTACATTCAATTGTTCAGGTCCTTGTGGTTTAACTATTGATTTTGAAGAAAATATTTTAGTATCCTCAATTAGAAATGGATTAAAATTATTTGATAAAAACGGTGTCTTCATAAAACGAATTGATCATGCAGATGATGGATTAAAAATTCCATGTGGAATCCATGCAATCTCCGTTAGACCAAGAAGAGTAGCAGTAGCAGACCACATTGCCAACAACATTAAAATATTCAATTATTAAAATGACATTGAATTGCATGAATTATAGCATCATAAAAATGATCTATTTTAATACGTTTACATTAATATGATTGGTTTTATCATGGAGGTTATACATACAGTATATATATATACCATGGGGAATCCATGCAACCTCCAAGACACTAAGAGCAGCAGTAGCTGACTATAAGTGCAAACAATGTTAAAACTTTCAATAATTAAAATGACATTTAAATGCATGAACCATAGTAGGGAGTTTCGATGGACGACTTTAACCTTAACTTGAATGGATGACATCATAATTTATTCATCTTACGTTGCTGAGTATGTTAATTTCAGAATTTTTACTTGGTCTATGTACGTTAGTTACAGGTTTGCGCATGCATATTTTGATTTGTTTACAAAAAGGGGCGGAGCAATCACACTGCATGATGGGTACTAACGTTAAAGTTAAGGTTAATGTCGTGCATCAAAAACTCCCTATTATCATAACAATGTAATATAAATTTCATATCTAATATGGTACATTTCGATATGATTATTTTTATCACGTAGTTTATATGAGGCTTGTCATCCCAACTGTGACTAATTGTTAAACTGAGCAACCAGCATCAAGAAAAGTCTCTTTAGCAAAGAGAATCCGTATCTATTCTTAACTTTAGCAATAGAAAGTTGTATATTCTTATACACATCTAGATGTGTATAAGAGACAGCACCTATTGTCTACAGTGTATCCAAAAATGGGTGGAAACTCATGGAAAGATGAAATGCCCAACATGTGGACAAGAACATGATCTAACAAAAGAAGACCTAAAAAAGCTAGCTTCCAATACAATGATAAGTCAACTACTAGAGTATGTCATGAAAATTGAGGACCAGAAACCGACTAAATGCTCTTTCTGTGACAATCAACCATCATACCACTGCTCAACATGTCAGCTGTATTTATGTGGAGGCAACTGTATCAAACAACACAAGGCCGTACCTTCCACTAAGCATCACCCACTTTACACATTAGACATAAAGGAACAGGAGGGCAATCAATGTCCAGCTCACTGCAACAACACACTAGAATTTTACTGCACTACTTGTAACAAATCTGCATGTAAGCAATGTGAACACATTTTTCACTGTTGTCAAAAACAACATGAAGTGATTCCAATGTCAACTGCTGTAGATGAGTTTAACAAAGATGCCAATGAAATTGTTGAGTTAGCTCATGAAATTAAAAATAAATTAACAGAAAAACTACAAATTTTAACTAAAGACAGATTACAATTTGATTCCCAAGTAAAGTTATGCAGAACAGCCATAGAAATTCATGAAAAGAAACTTATCAAGAAAGTTCAAGAGAAAAGCAAAGAATTAATATCAGATCTTGACAATATATACAAAACAAATAAAGGAAATTTCGATAGTGAAGTTAATGATATTGATTCAAAGATGACTCAATTAAAGAATCTAATAGTTTCAATCAATTCAATAATGAACAAACCAGAAAAAACAAAAACTCTTTCATCCAAAATGAAAACTATAAAAGCTGTTAAAGACAGTGTCCTAGAAACTGATTTTGAACAATCATTTCAACAGAGAAATATCAAACCAAATTGTATTCCATCCATGCAACTGGATGAGTTGATGAATACCGAGGGCATTGGTAAAATCACAACTGCTGATAGCATGACATACAATGTTGCTGAAGATGATGAACAAATTACTGTGACAAAAGGTCAACCATTTGTAGTGAAAGTATCAAGTCCAACAGAAACTAATATATAAATCCATTAAATAATATTTTGTTTCATATATTGTGAGCATTACAATAACAAACTACATTTAAAGCCTGGCACGACCTGGTTTGCTCAGTTGGCGCTAGACACCGTCTGCTTATCGTCCTTAGCAGACCGAGCGGATTGTCATTATGCTATTTTGTGTGCCCCATCGATGCAGTGTCTGCCCATCAATAATAATTTTGTATATTTAAGTACTACTGTATACTCGTAGTTGCATAGTTCCAACTAGTAGAAAAGTACTAATGTATAATACTGTACATATTTGTAGTTGTATATTAATTTTAACTATAAAAGTTAATAGTAGATTCACATTTTAACACAGCTACATTGTTAGGGAGTTAATACATATGCCAAATATCAATGCTTTATCATGCACGAGTTTGCATACTATGCGATATACTATAAGTAATCTGCTTACAATTATCAATTTCAAAATAAATGCATGGGAGTAAAATTATTACATATTATTGTTGCATTTTGTATGTACAAAGTTATACCACCTCCACTCCACATAAAAAAAAAAATAGATACAACATTAAAAACATTTTTAGCATCCTACCACAATTGAATAGCAGCAATGAAGATTCTATATTTACAGTTTAATTTATGTTATTTACAGTACAGGAATTAGGAATGGTGATTTTCATAATATAAGATAGATAAGATGAAAGTTTATCTTATCTTATATCTTTATTATAATAATATAATGATTTTCACTTCTATTTTTATTGATCTTAAGTAATTTTAAGATTTCTTATTTGGTGTTTAAGTTCTTGGATTCCTTCTTAAAAAAGCATGTTCTTGATTTACAGCTAGGTGTAGGTATTTTGAGCCACCAAAATCTGTTTTAATGTTTACAATTCTATTTCAATTCAAAGGGTAACATCTTTTATTTTTCCCCGGTGATAGCTTACTGTCCATGTATTTTCGATGTACAGCTAGTCATTAAATTTTATTTTACTGATTACAATTCATATTTTCATTGTAGGGTCACCAATGTATAAACTCTATTGTTTTTAGGATGATTACTTTCAATAATCAGTGTTATAAAATTATCTTTTTTAATATGCATTTTCATTTGTTGGTGAATAAAGAATTTTAAATTGGAAATGTCTGCATTGCTTACCTGTTGATACTGTAGCTCAAGTAAGTCTCTTCTTTATACCATACAAGCCAGACCAAGGCTGAAGTCTACTTTCTTTGGCTCAGGGATGGTGAATATGTCAGGGAGAATAAGGTTAGCTAAGCCCCCTGACTCCTGTCATGCACCAATCTGATAGTGGATCAGATGCTCAGCCTCAGTTGAAACCTAGAATATACAAACAATATCCAAAAGTCAATCATGTACAGTAATTTCATGACTTGAAGAGTGATTCTGTCATTAGTGCAGCTGTTAGTGGTTAAGATGGTCTCTTTCCAATAAAAAATTCTGACATTAACATCATATTGATGAACACATTCTAATATTTTTGAAATTAAAATAAACCTCTAACATCATTCTGCCAACTCCAAAATGTGCTGCCAGTGATTTGAAAGCTAAATCCTAAAGAAAAATAGGCATATGTTGTTTTGTTTACCAATCAGCATGAGGCGCATACTGACAAGTAAATACTGTAATTTGTGTGTTTCTTAAAGTCAGCCCAGATTGTTAATTTAATTGAATCCATTGAAATTATATAGGAGTTTTGTGACCCATTTTAACTCATTGATGTACTGTCCATTGAAAATGAAATAAAATTCATACAAATTAATTTTGAAATTAACTAGCTCATTTTGCAGTAATATACACATTAACTTGAGCATAGAAATTATTTAAATTTTCAAAATGTGTTCCCTGATTTTTATACTGGATAATATGTATTGTTCTTGGAACAATACACAAACTTACAATTAAACAGTCATAAACAGAAATCCTAAAAATCCAACTACGTTGACAACAATTATGAAAAGTAAGAATGCAAATCAAATGAAATAAATATTTATCAATTAAAGTGGAATGGCCGAGCGGTTAGTGCAGGGGCTGCGAAACCTACAACCATAATATTGTGCTGTTTCGAACAGTGTGCTCGCCTGGCAATGGTGCAACGTTGGGGTCCTGTGGCTTCTTAGACTGGGGGCCTCTTTGTTGGTCCCACCAATCACCATTTCCATTGTGGACTTTTAGATATGCTCATTTTTAATCATGTTTGTCATGTGTTCAAACTAACTAGGAAATAACGATGTCATATCAGTGGCGGATCCAGAAATTTGAATAGAGCGGGCCCAGGGAGTCACTTTCACTGATGGAGGGTCTATACAACCTCAGGCCCACCATGAGGTAAGACAATTTATGATTATGTTACATCTAGATAGCTGTAAGTTTCACTACAGACTTACAATTTGTATATAATTTTCTTTTTATCTCCATTTTTTAAATGATTTTGACACTTCTAGGGGGAACCTGTTAGGGTTTTGTCCTACAGTAGATGTCAGAGACATAATATGCTCTTATATCGACAAAGTCCTTTTGGGTCAGGGTGCTACATCGAGGATCAAAAGGTCTGGGCC